AGCCCAACAAAAATCTCTACAAACACAAAAAAGTATGGATGCTTCAAACAAAAGGAAGAAAGTGGAGAGAAAAAATGTAAGAGGAAGAAAAAAGAAAAACTGAGAATAGGAGAACAGGTTTTGGAAAGAAAATGCAATAATGAAATGAGCATAAAGAAGGAAGATATAGGAAAAAAAGTAGACTGTAGAGAATAAACTGAAAGATTTTTTTACAGAGACAAAATAAAAAGAAAACTAGCAGAAACAATAAAGCTGAGAATAGAAGAGAAGGAATTAATGGAGCTAAAAACAGAAAAATTTCCTCCTATCATTGGAAAAAAAATCTAAAAACAAAAATAAGAGAAAAGAACATAAAAAATCTTAAGAATTTTCAAAATTTCTCAGTAGCCAATTTCTCAATAAATATGGAATTACTTGGACTTGCAGGAGTTGACCCAGAACAAGTCCCTCTGTGGAAATGAAAGTCCTCTGCTGGAATTGCCAGGGAGTGGGTTCCCCCTCGACAGTTCGATCAGCAAAGGAGGCCCAGAGAAAAAAAAACTCAAATTATATTCCTTTGTGAAACTAAATGCAAACTTTTAGATTGTAGGAAGCAGCTTAAATGCTAAAAGAATTGGAACTGCTGAGGTATTGATGCTAGGGGTTTAGCATGAGGTGTAGCTCTTTTCTAGGATGAGAGTCTGAATATCCAAGTCTTAGCAGTAGATAAAAACCTAATTCACTCCAAAATATCTGAAGAGAGCAATAATAAAGATTGGAACTGTACTTTCATATATGGAGAGCCAGACAAGAGCAAAAGAATGCAACTCATTGAAAAAATAAATTTTTTAGCTGAAAGAACAAAGGGATCTTGGTGTTGTATTGGTGATTTTAATATGTTATTTAACCTGGATGATAAAGTAGAGGGGAAAGTAGTTAGGGTTGGTGAAGTGAGGAGAAACAGAGCTATCATGCATGATTGGGTTTTAGAAGAAATTCTGAGTTCAGGGTCGAAATATTCTTGGAATAATAAAAGGGACAAAAAAGCAAATATACAAGAAAAACTAGACAGAGGGCTATGTAATCTAGAGTGGAAAGAAAATTTCCTTGATGCAAAAGTTATTGTCCTTACAACCCATGGTTCTGATCACCTTCCAATATGCCTAGATACCAACCCAATAACTTTTAAAATCAAGAAACCATTCAGGTTTGAAGAAATGTGGCTTACCCACAAAAACTGTGCAGAGGTTATTAAGGAAGCTTGGATTGAAAGCAAAGCAACAATGTTGATTTTATTGTTCCAAAGAAATGTGGAGAATTAAGTAGGATTCTAAGGAATTGGAACAAAAAGAGGTGAAATGGTGGCTTGAAAGACTCAGAGGAGAGCTTAATAGGGAGAGAGAAAAGAAAGGATCAAATTATGATCAAGAAAAGATCAATCAACTTGAAAAAAAGTCTAGATGAATGGATAAGAAGAGAAGAAATCATGTGGGCCCATAAAGATAGAGTAAACTGGATTAATTTTGGGGATAGGAATCCAAGGTTTTTCCATAACCAAACAATCAGAAGGAGAGAAAAAAATAGGATTTTAAAGCTGAAAAATGAGTCTGGAGAGTGGTTTGAGGGACAAGAAAATATCAAAAAGATCATGAAAAATCATTTCCAGCAAATTTATACATCTTCTTGCCCCACAGAAATTGAAATAGCCAAGCAGGGAATCCAACTGGTAATAAATGAAAAAACCAATGAAAGCCTAGAGAAGGAGGTATCAGAAGAAGAGATTAAAGAAGCCTTGTTCCAAACGGCCCCTAGGAAAGCTCCGGGGCCGAATGGGTTTCCAAATCTTTTTTTCCAATCTTTTTGGGAGTTGGTGAAGGAGGATGTGGTAAGGGATGTAAGAAGGTTCTTTAACACAGGTGAGATGAGTAGAAGTCTCAACACAACCTTTATAGCCCTAATCCCTAAAATTAAAAATCTAGAAAATGCATCCCATTTCATACCAATTAGTCTCTATAATACTGTTTACAAGATAATTGCAAAAATCTTAGTAAATAGGATGAAACCAATTCTAAATAAGATCTTCTCAGAAAACCAAAGTGCTTTCATCCCTAAGAGAGCCATTTCTGACAATATTTTAATTGCTCATGAAGTAATACATTACATGACTCACACAAAAGGAAAAACTGGTTTCATGGCAATTAAACTGGACATGAGTAAACCTTGTGATAGAGTGGAATGGGGTTTTCTGGAAAAAACCATGGAGAAAATGGGCTTTGGGGATAAGTTCAGGTCTTGGATCATGAGTTGTGTGTCCACAGTTACTTACCAGTTATTAATAAATGGCTCCCCTTCAAAGAAAATTCACCCTCAAAGGGGATTAAGACAAGGGGATCCTCTGTCCCCTTACCTCTTTCTCTTATGCTCAGAAGTCTTCACATCAATTATTAAACAAAAAGTGACCCAAAAAGAATTCTCTGGCATCAAAATCTGCAAATTAGCTCCAACAATATCTCATTTGTTTTTTGCAAATGACAGCTATTTTTTCTCAAAAGCAAATTTTAAGGAGGCTAGCACTCTGTTGGAAGCCATCTTCCTCTTTGAAAGAGCCTTTGGGCAACAGGTGAATTACCAAAAATCTAAGGTGTTCTATAGCAATAACATGCACCCCAAATTGGAAAAGATGGTCTCAAATGTTTTAAAAATTAAAAAAGTGAACAAACCATCTATATATTTGGGATCTTATCCTCTTGTAAGTAGGAAAAAGAATCAGATTTTTTAGTATATTGCTGAGAGGGTATCAAATAAAGCCAAAGGCCAAAGGGGATCTCTGTCCACGCAAGAAAAGAGGTCCTTGTAAAATCAGTCTTGACTGCTATCCCAACCTATTACATGTCTTGCTTCCTACTCCCCAAAAGCATATGTAACTCCTTAGCAAAAAGCCAAAAATCCTTTTGATGGGGAGATAAAGAAGATAAAAGAAAAATAAGATGGGTAAACTGGAATCAAATCTGTAAAAACAAAACAAATGGGGGCTTAGGATTCAGAGATCCTAGGGATCTTAACCTTGCTCTGCTTGCCAAATTAGCATGGAGACTTTGTTCTGATACCACAAGCTTATGGGCAAGAGTTCTAAAAGCAAAATATTATCCTAAGCACCATTTTACCCATGCAAAGCTCAGAAGCCAGCCTTCATGGGGGTGGAGGAGTATTTTGGAAGGAAGGAAAATTCTAGAAAATAGTATTTGCTGGAAAGTGGGTAGTGGAATTAGCATTAAAGTTTGGGATGACCCATGAATTCTAAATATAAATGAATTCAAATTAATAGAGCCGAGGCAAGAAAATAGTGAGAACCTTATAGTGGTAGAATTAATCAATCAAGATAATAGAAGCTGGATTCAAATTCTTGTATTCCCCCTGCATTTGCCCAAAAAATCACAGAAATGGAGATTCCCTCAAATCCATGGGATGATAAATTAATTTGGCTAGGGAGTAAGAATGGAAAATTCTCAGTGAGGTTTGCTTACTTCCTAGCAAAACAAATAAAAGAAGAAAATCAAGAATATAATGAGGACTCAACACAAGATGAGAATAAAAAATTTTGGAAACTTGTTTGAGGTCTCCCAATTGAACCCAAAATCAAACACTTCCTTTTGAGATGCTATGTCAATGGAATAGCAGTCAAATAAAATGTTGCAAAAAGAGGACTAGAAATCTCTAGTACTTGTGAAAGATGTAGAAAAGACCTAGAGTCAATTCTACATGCTTTGCTACTGTGTGATAAGTCAAGATGCATTTAGTTGGGCTTGGCCTGTGGCATCAACCCAAATTATGGCCAAAATTTTTCAGATTTCAAAGAGTGGTTAATGAATATTTTCCTTCGGAAAGACCCATCAGGACAAATTAATTGAAATTGCTTTAGTGTTATGGGGAATTTGGAAGGATAGAAATACTTGTTATTTTGAAAATGAAAATGAAAATCCCCTTGTAGTTATCTCCTTTATTTGCAGGTCAATAGTGGAGAGATATTATCAATGTTGATGGTGGTTTTTTAGAGGCAACTAGACAGGCTTCTTTTGGCTTCATAATTAGAGACTATTAGGGTTATCGTTGGGGTACAGGCTTTGGTCCAAGTAAAGCTTCTTCGCCTCGCAAAGCAGAAGCTCAAGCCCTTCTAGAGACAGTCTTTTTTGCAGATAGGATGAATTTTTCAGATCTGTGTTTTGAATCGGATTGTGATTTTCTTGTTAAAATGATCAATACCACAAAAGGTTACGAAGATCGGGATATCCTCTTTTGTTGCAAGGATATTTAAACAATTATCGATAAAAAGAAATGCAAGATTCAATTCTATTCGGGGGAATCAAATCAAGCAGCATGGCGGCCAAATGTAGTTATTCAGGGATTTTTAAATCCAGTTCTGCAAGTCCTTTTCATCTTTCTAATGTAGTAAACATGGACTTCGCCTTCTGTAATCGGCTTTAGTATAGTGTGTTTTTTTCTGCTTTTTCTTTTCTTTGTTTGTTTGTAGTTCGGGAGCCTGTTTAGTTGGTGCCTGTTTTGTTGTGTTTCTTTCTGCTTTTTCCGGAGTATGATCAGTATTTTCAAATAAAAAAATCGGTGGCGTGTGGTTGAATCTTCCAATTTGGCTGCTTAATCTCGTCTTACTGTCACTGTCATGTTTGGGCTCCATAAAACGCGGGACTCTTCATTGTCCCAATTCACAACTCACGAAAGTTACGGTGAATTAAATTAAAGACAAGTGCTGATACGAGACCCGAAATTATGGGAGACATTATGGACCGTCCATGACTGACCCGAGACCAATCCCGTTTACCACCGAGCCGGTCCAAATAGGGCGGCTTCTCGAAGACTAATTACTGTTTTTTTCTTCTCTCTCTCTCGAGTCTCGTCTCGTCTCAAATGCAAGCAAATACGAGCCTCGTCGAACTTTGGTGGTGCTTATCTTCTTCTTCTTCTACCATACGCCAAAGGTGTATAAAAAGGTTGGGTTATTAAAACATGAAGCCAAGTCTACGTTTTTCACTCCCAGCTTTTGTTTGGACAAGAAGCGAGCTTCTTATTATTTTCTTTCCATATCTTGGTTTCGTGTAATTAAGCTTCTGAATATTCTCTATTTTGGGTTGTAGCTACTCATTTTCAGTCAGTTAGGTGCATTTGTTCAAAAGCAAGCTTGCTCAGCTCACCGGATTAAGTTAGTTTCCTTGTGTATTTGTAGTAATTTCTTGCCTCTTTGTTTTATTGCTGATTGATTGAGCTCATGGTGTTCAGTACTAGATCATAACGAAGTTTATAGTTAAACATCACATCTGAATTGAATGTGTATGAGTTTGATACCCAGATCTCGAATATGCTGAAGAATATTTTGTCACGCACTTCTTCATCTGTGAATTTATTATAAACGACTTTTGATCTCTGTTCTTTCATCTTCTGTCTCTTTTATATTTTTTCTTCTTTCTTAGTTTTGGCATTTTATCTGGTTTTCTCTTAAACAGGTTAATTTGTTTTTCCCTGTTGTATTTTCTTTGACTTCTTCTAGAGACTATTAAAATAATGATGATATTTCTTGTTCCCCAAGTCATTTTTCTCAAGCTGTAAATAATCTGACCTGGGTATCTTTTCCCTGTTCTATTTTCTTTGACTTCGTCTAGAGACTATTAAATAATGATGATATTTCTTGTTCCCCAAGTCATTTTTCTGAAGCTGTAAATAATCTGACCTGGGTATCTTGGTCCGAAGTCATATTCCTCCAGCTTGCAATAAGACTTGTTCATGTTTCATTACCTTCTTTCTGTATAGTCGTTGTTGGTATTCTGTTAAAATAATTGCAGTTGAATCTGAAATACTCTTCTTTTATTTTGGTTGCCAGGAATAGCAGAACCTCTTTACCCGCTCGCTGATACGTAAAAAGGTGGGGTTGATTTGATTCTCTTTTTTCCTTTTTCTCTTTCAATTTATTTGTTTTCAGTTTTTCCATTAGAAATGAAGGGAAAAGAGAGAGGTAGAGAGAAGAAGGGCTTTGAACTCCTCGACAAAAAGACAGATTATTAGCGAATTCTCTCATTCTCGGGTGGAAAACGTGGGAATTTTCAAAGAGGAAAGGTCACCCAGTTGTTTTAAAGGTTGACTCAATTTGATGATCCTGATTTCCTGACCGTTTGATTTATCTCCTGGAAAGCCTCCTCCTATCCCACTGTTCCCATTGTTCCGTGTCAATACGGTGGAATCTTCTTCAAGATCCTTCCCAATGCTTCCATTTTCTTTCCAGGCTAGAGCTCTAAGCTTCCAACCCAGATCTCTCTGACTTTCGGTCACTCATCTCTCCCCTTCCACATACTGCCTTATGACACTTTTCTCAGCTAGCTATACAAGTATAGATCACATGTGTTGCTGACTTGTATTTATCCCTTCTTTCAGGCCAAGTTGAATTGTTCTGCACCAGCTTGTTAGTGTTCTCTGCAGAAAAGGGTCTGAAGGGAAGAATTGGGTATTGCCCTCAGGGCTGCTAACCTTGTTTAACATGGCATTGTCGAGGCTTGCGAGGACTCACTCGAAACAGTCAGGAAAAGCCATTAGCAATTACTTGAATGAGACGGGCATTCTCTGTGAGGCAGCGCCAGCCAGAAAATATTACTTCTATTCTGTCAGCAATTTTGCAGACAGTGGTAATCTCAAGCACCTATCTGGGCTTGGAAAGATAGATTTATTAGTTTTTGGAAGCAGGGGAATAAGGGTTACTCCCAAATACCAATACCCTTCAGCTGAGAGGATCTTAGAGGTTTCAGATTCAGAGTATGGAAACCCAAGATTGCCAGGACTGGAAGCAACCAGGCCAGGTGAAAAGCCGAGGGTCGTTGTTCTGGGAACGGGTTGGGCTGCTTGTCGGTTTCTTAAAGGGCTTGACACCAAGATATATGATGCTGTCTGCATATCACCAAGGAATCACATGGTCTTCACTCCACTGCTTGCTTCAACTTGCGTGGGAACCTTGGAATTCCGTTCAGTCGCTGAGCCAGTCAGCCAGATTCAGACTGCATTGGCAACATCGCCTAACTCCTACTTTTACCTGGCTTCTTGCCTAGGAATTGATACTGATAAGCATGAAGTAAATTCCTCTGTTTCTCTGTGTCTTTTGCTCTGACGACAGTTTTAACTTTGTATATTCAGACATAATAATCAAATGCTACTTCCTTGTCAATTTAGGTCTACTGTGAGACAGTTGGGAGTGTTGGACTAGCTCATCAACCTTACCGATTTAAAGTTGCATATGACAAGCTAGTCATTGCTACCGGCGCTGATCCATTGACTTTCAACATCAAGGGAGTGAAGGAACATGCATTCTTCCTTCGAGAGGTAAATCATGCGCAAGAAATACGGAGGAAGCTTCTTCTCAATCTGATGATCTCTGAGAATCCTGGTGAGTCATGTTTTTTCTATCAAAACTTTACATGCTCTTGGACCATCAGATAGATATACTAAGAAATGCTTCAGAGAAAATATTTAAGATGATTGTTCATTGTGCGGGGGGCGGGGGGATCATTATTCTTACTTGGAACCAATTGGTCTTCATGGAAATTGCAGTTCATTAGTAGTTACCTCTTAAATATTAACGGTAATAATTAGTGTGTCAGAACTCTGAAGTATGCAAGTTGAAAGAAGAGAAAACCAGGGCATAAGAGAAGATAGTGGATAGGAATTGCGTCTTTATAAAACAAAATTGATGTCCATTGCAACCTAAAGATGTGGCCTATGGAAACCATGTGAAAGGATGAGAGGAATTTGACAATTAACATGAAGAAAATTAGGATTTTATTATCCTATGCATTTTCTCATCAGGCGAGTCTTGTTAATAAATATGTTGTTAAGTGGTAAAGAACAGCCATCTATTTACGAACTTGCTTACAGGAACGCTCTATTTGTTTCTTTTAATCTCTTTTCTTGCCCTCTATCCATGTAATTATCTCTATGTGTGGGCTTTTGTGAATGATTGACTTATATTCTACTTCATCTTAATCCACTAAAGAGGATATGTATAGCTAATATTCCATCTTGATTCTTCTTGGTTAATATACAAGCTGTAATCTTTGTTTATTGTTTTTTCTTAATTACTCAAGCCAGGTCTTGTTTTCTTCAATAGACTTTTAATGCTGGGACCGAATCCATGATGACAGGTATATCAGATGAAGAAAAGAAGCGTCTATTACACTGTGTTGTTATTGGAGGTGGCCCCACTGGGGTAGAATTTAGTGGTGAATTGAGTGATTTTATCATGAAAGATGTTCGTGAGAGGTACTCTCATGCTAAGGATGACATCAGGGTGACCCTCATAGAGGTAAGAATTTCTATTTTCTTTCATTTTGTAGCTCTTTTACTGCAACCTAGGAGGAAAATATGTTAAGTTACTGACTGGTTTTTCTTTCTTGCTTGAACAGGCAAATGAGATCTTGTCATCTTTTGATGTAGGACTGCGGCAATATGCAATAAAACATTTGACCAAGGTGATTTCAGTTGGAGTACTTATTACAAGGAAACCTTTTCACTTCTTGTTATTCTTTCTTTGCCCCAATTGTTGAGTAATTATTGAGAACATTTTAAACTTGCATCAGTCTGGCGTTCGACTTATGCGGGGAGTTGTGAAAGAGGTTCATGACAAGAAGATAGTTCTGAGTGATGGGACTGATGTCCCATACGGTCTGCTTGTTTGGTCCACAGGTGTAGGACCATCAGAATTTGTAAAATCACTAAACATTCCCAAGTCCACTGGTGGAAGGTATATTCCTCTATTCAAATGTATCTTGATGTTTTCCTTTCTCTGTATACTTTCAATGGATCTTATTAATTATGCTTGTTATGTGGTACAGGATAGGTGTTAATGAATGGTTGCAAGTTCCTTCTGTGGAAGATGTATATGCGTTAGGGGATTGTGCTGGTTTTCTAGAAGAGACAGGGAAGCAAGTACTTCCAGCTCTAGCTCAGGTAAGATTCCTCATGCATATTCTGTTGCAGTTTCTCCATACCAGCTATAGTGAACTCCTGATAGTATATCTGTCCTGACTAGAATATTAGTTAATGAGCCTAATTTCTAGTTTTATAAGAGATAAGATGGAATTGACAATTTAACCAAGTGATTTTCTTATACATTGATTAATAGTTCACAACAGCAGTGTGGTAGATGATTTTCAAGTCGCTTTTCAAAATGCTTTTTAGTATAGTTACTTGGCTTTCGTTCTATTATTGCAGTTGTAGTATTTTCTGTTGTCTTTGCTAAAACAATAAAACCATGTAAGGGTTCTTGAAAATTTAGTGACCCAAGCATGTCAATTAAATAAATTTAGGTCACTTGACAATGAGGTGTACCACAATATGAAAAGAATAAGTAGGCTAGAACTTAGATCTTTAGCTAACAAATAGTGTGTTAACTATATTTTGTTTTGGACCTCTTGTTGATTTCTCTTCATATAAAGCAAAAAGTATTGGAAATTTGGAACTCATTAAGAGGAGGTAGTTATCTGAGTACTTACCCCTATCTCCCTTTCTGAACAGGTTGCAGAAAGGGAAGGCAAATATCTGGTGGGGATGATAAACAGGATTGGGCAACAGAACGGAGGCAGGGCTTTCTGTTCGAAAGGCATTACCTTGGGTGAGCCATTTGTTTACAGGCATCTAGGAAGTATGGCATCTGTTGGAAGATACAAAGCATTAGTTGATCTGCGCCAGAGTAAGGTAATTTGTTGTGTTTTTGTTTTTTTCCTCCTGTTTTCAATGTAGAAATAATTTTAAGATTTTTATGATACTATACCAAAAGAATAGCATATAGAAAAGTTTACAGGACAGTCCAGAGATTTAAAAAATACAGTACAAAATTTATCCTTGTTTATAGCTCCTTACTGTAGTCAGAGTTCAAAGTTCAGTTGAGTTGACTCTGTTTACTGTAGTCTGAGTTTGGTATAAACACCAGAATGCAATTTGGCAGATTTTTGTCTGATACTCTCATTGACCACTTTGTAATTTACATGAGATGAGAGCGGAGCTCATCTCTTGTTGAACACCAGGAGCCATAGCTGGTGGGAAAGTCAAATTAGAGTTACTGATCTTTTTTTTTTGTTTTTTCTTGTTGATATTACTAGCCCCATTTAAATGCTACAACATCTGATATTTCCTTTTCCCTTTTGGGTTGCCAGGATGCCAAGGGCGTCTCCCATGCAGGGTTTGTTAGCTGGATGATCTGGCGTTCTGCTTATCTGACACGTGTAATCAGCTGGAGGAACAGGTTCTATGTAGCTGTGAACTGGGCAACTACATTTGTTTTCGGCAGGGACAACTCAAGAATTGGTTGATATGGCATCAGTGATTGGATTAGTTAGGTGCCTCGTGGCTGCTTATCAAGATAGTCATTAATATTGGCATCCTCACTTCTGATTCTATTTTTTTTTTGTAATTACTATTCATTTCGCATATAGAATTTATTCAATTTATTGAAGCTGAATACATCCTTGATAGCTCATAGAAATTTTGGAACGTGGGTGTAGAGTAGGTAGAAGTGAGGAAGGACATCAATGGCAAGAGTAAAACATGACAAATTGGAAAGTATCCGATGGCAACCATGTGATTCCGATTGACAGAAGGAAATGGGAAGAGGAAGACATGTGACGCTTAAAAAAGCGTGCATCATACCAATTCTTTAATATCTTAGTCTAATAGAAGTAATAAGATTGTTCTTCATTTTTTTTTCTTATTTGTATTTTGGTAATTTGCCTGAAAAAATATTTATATAATTATATAATTATATAATTATAGGCAGGGATGATTTGTTTTTGATGATCAATAAGCTTAAATAACTCGTGTAAAAACCTCCTTCGGTGTTCACCCATACATCCAACGAAGCCCGTTTATTAAAATTTTGTAAACGAAGAGTTTGGAATAACTTGCCTAACGAAATTTTACAGCTGGCACATTAACAGAATGAGCTTCAATAAGCTGTTGTGATCGGGCATATGTTGATTAATTTGACCACATCAGGCAACGGGTGACTCACCCGCCGGTGACCCAATTATGGCTCAACTCCTCCAAGAGGCGCCATGGGAGTGTTGTTTTCAGCTATCCTCGGCATTTTAGTCCTGGTTCCAGAGTATATAATCCGGAATCCCGTATCGCTGGCAGTTGTAGATCATTTTTCATGTCAATTCTTGGCCACAAAACAAAATGATCTTTTTTTCTTTTTTCTCTCGTAAACGTAGAGAGTTTATTTATTACAAAAATAGGTGAACGATACAGTCTGGCGGAGATTCCTCCCAGCTGGTTGTTCTGACATTTAACCTTAGTCTATGTTTCGTTAATCTGTTAGCAATTTCTTTTTCGGCTCTGGTTTCATGTAAGAAATGCAGAGCCTCTAATAATCTGTCGTCAACAATCTCTCATCTTCGATCGATCACATCGTTGTGCTTGAGCCCAACACTACTGTTTGATTCATCACGGAACTCAAGTACAATAAAGTGCATTCCTAGAATCCTAGTTGCATCCCCAAGCAAACATAAATTACATAATAGAAGAAGAAGAAGAAGAAGAAGAAGAAGAGAGTGATAAAAGAGAAAAAGAAACCAAGAATTAAGGAAGAAGAAAGGGCTAGTCAATTATAAGCAAATTTGACACTGTACAAAGCGAGTTAACTTAATTAGGACGGCAAAACCCCCTCCTCCTCGACGATTTTGTCTCTGCCTCTGTCTCTTCAAACTTAAAAATGATGGCTGCGGCTTGATGGGTGAAGCAAGTGATCATCAGCTGCACCACCTCCACCTGCTCGTCGATTACTTTGTGAGAACAAAGCAGCGAAGGAATGGGCCAGCCCGACAACGATCCCAACTTTCACCTGACCTCGCTTCGGTATCGGACGGCTTGCAAACCTCTGGGTGTCGTTCATCACCGTCGTCGTTGCACCGGCCATTTCTTCTCTAACTCTTCTCCACCGAACAAAAACAACCAAATTATACAAGAATTAGAGGGAAGGACACCAACAAGATTCACTGTGTCTGTGTCTGTGTGGGTTTGGGGAGATTGGGAGGAGAAAGTCACCTTTATATAGACAGGAGTTGAGTACTAAATTGGGCTTCACCTTTATATAGACAGGAGTTGAGTACTAAATTGGGCTTAGCCCTCCCGATGCCCCTAGATTTGGACTCTGACCTATTTTTTGTCCTTTTTTGACCAAATTGTTCTTCCTCCTCCTCCTGGTGTGTTTGACTGTGACATAGTTACCGTGACCGTGAGTGTGAGTCCCTTTGTTGTCCGTTCAGCAATCACAGTGGATATATAGGATTGAACGTTCTGGATTCACCGGCCCCATGAAAAGCATTTGGCCAAAGATGTATGCCCGAACTAACCAAAAACAAATAAATCTCTATGGGTCCCAGCTTGAGCTTGCCATCCATTGAAAACCAAATCGTTCTTCGGATTCCTCAGGCTCAGACTCAGAGTAGGCTGGTAAGGTTGGGCGGCTAACAGTGAACCATCTCCATCTCTGGGCCCCCTCCTTCCCCACAACGAACTAGGCACTAGGCAGACATCTCTCATTCATCAGTGAATGTGAATGAACTAAACTGACAAAAGTTACCAACTCCATTGGCCGCGTAGATCCCCTCACTCACTATACTTCTATGCTTGTATTGCGGATTGTGCCACCTTTGACCTTTAGAGCAGAGCAGTATATGATCAATGCCAATGGAGAAATCCATAATCCCTTGGCCAGACTAGATTCCTTGGCGGGGGCGGCTTTTATCAGTCCTAGTCCTCCTACTCCTACAATTGTGGGGTCCTGTGGCCAAGTGGGAGAAGCCCATTGGTGGTCAGCTAGATATTTTTGCTTGATGGGTCCAATGGGTCCAAGTGGGGAGAACTCCATTGGTGGGCTAGAGTCTACGCCCACCGGAGATGGGGCCACGTTTGACTTTGAGCCCAGAGTCTACGCCCTATGAATCAAATCAAATCAAATCAAACTATCAACCTATTGACCTAAACCAAAACAGGGTGCAAGGGAAGATGAAATACGGGAAGCAAGAGTTGAGTTTCCATTCCAATCCAAAGGATGATTTATTCATTTTGTGGTGCAGTGGAAAACCAATGGATAAATGATGAGAGTGGCAGTCCCGTAATTTTCATAGTAAAGGTAAGAGTATTTGGAGATTTACTCTACTTCATTATCATATCAAATCCATCACGTGGTCATTTAGTTTGGCATTTATAGGAAATTGTGAGTTGGCACAACAGAGGAGGTGCAGGTGTGTGCTGTTGGTGTGGATTCCTGAATCCCGATTCCTCTTCTCTTGTTTTTTTCTTCAATAACTCAATCCTCAACGGTCAATCGCATAATTTGGCTTTTGTTTATTCTTTCCACTTTCCACGGTCCAACACTGCATTAATTAAAAGCAACCCTGGTCTCCTTGTCGGGTTCAGACCGGACAACCTTATCGAACTGGTTCGGTCAGAAATATCAAATAATTAACCGAACAAACCACAACAACGGACCTAATACTTATTTATCCGGTTTGTACCAGGAGTTAGTGGACACTGGGCCCAAAATGACTGGTAGTGAAGAGGGGAACACTTGGGCCTCACTCGAATTGGGGTATCAAATCTATTCCTTAATTATAACAACTCTAATATTTATATATATATATAAAGGAAGGTCTTCAATTTACATTTCTCCACCATTTTAGACACGTAGTCTTTTCATTTTTATGAAAATCTATACATGCGACATTTTCTAAGAAATTATTCTTAAAACCTACAACTCATTATCACCATTCAAATAAGTGACCTTTTTATTTTTTATAAAGTTAGACACATGGCAATTTTTTAGAAATTCCTGCTAAATCCCACAACCCACTACCAGGCTACAGCCCCCACCATTCATACATGTGTCCTCATTTTTCTAAAAATTTAGACATGTGTAGGGGTGTCCATGAAAAACCAAACCGATCGGTTTGGTTTCAGTTCGATATTTTTGAAAAACCGAAGGACCGGTTTGGTTTTTGGTTAACCTACAAAAAAAACCGACGGTTAACTGAACCGATCGATATATATATATATATATATATATATATATATATTTTTTAATATATGTCACATATTTTCTACATATTATAAATAAATATATACATATATTTATATATAATATATATTATAAATATAAAAAAAATCAAAAAATCGAACTGGTCAAAATCCAAAAACGACGGACCGGTTAATCGGTGGTACTAGTTCGGTTTACAAAAAGTGCCCATGATTCGGTTAACCGAACCATGGACACTCCTAGACATGTGACATTTTCTGAGAAGTTGCTACTAAAGCCCACAATCCACTATCACTATTTAGACACATGGCATCCTATCAGTTCAAGAAATAGGATTCAAAAAGTGAATAGTTCCATTCTTAAACATTCTCAATGGACAATTATTTATTAGCTTAACACATGTTTATCCATAGTCTATTAAATACAAATGGTGGAACCCATTAAAAGATTACCATAAATCCACGTTTGTTTTTAAATGATTTTTTTTTTCAAAAAGAAAATACTTTATTAATTACAAACTTGATTTAACTTTTAGGAAGCAACCTAATTTAACTTTTAAAAATGAATAACTCAAAATAGATTTATTAGATAAATAGTAAATACCAAATAAAGTGGGTTATTGTTTACGAATAAGCTTTCATTTAATATCTTAAATCAAATTAAAAAAATATAAATTAATAGTGGGTTTCAAATAAAATAGGTCATAATAGATTGTCAACTATAAAGATGCAAGACTCATATTAGTTTTTTTTTTAATTTAATTTTTGATAACAAAATAGTAAACTGCAAACTAAATTATACACACATTTAGTTACTCTATACTTACTAAGGGGTCATTCTCTAGTATATATATTAAAGGAAGGTCTCCAGACTACAACCCCCCATCATTCAGACACATGGCCTTCTTATTTTTCTAGAAATCTAGACATGTGGCATTTTTTGGAAAGTTGCTGTTAAAGCCCACAACCCACTACCACCATTCAAACAAGTGGCCTTCTCATTTTCTGGAAAGCTAGACACATGGCAATTTCTGAGAAATTCTTGGTGTAGATACATAGTAATCGCTCAGACCATCAAAGTACAGAAGATACCAAATGGATACCACATTGTTGCTTGCGATGAGTCTATAACTCATCAGTTACCTGTGGTGAGCTTATAACTCATCGAACGTCTGTGATGAGAATATGACTCATCGCACGTTCATGACAAACTCGTACTCGACACGAGTCAAGACAAACTTTGGCTAATGAGAACCCGCAATAAAGTTTAGACGTGCACGGTTCTACGATAAACCTCGGACATACATAGTTTTGCGATGAACCTCGGATGCACATAATTCTATGATGAACTTCAGTCTCATGCGATTTTGCAATGAACTCGAGACTATTATAGAGTCACGAATCACAACAAACAGGAATTAAATATCAACCACATGTGCAACCTTAAGTTACACACGTGACAAAGCACCATGTAGATTTAATAGAAGTGTGCCCGCCAAATGATGACATCATCAATGCCATGTTAGTTAAATAGGTCACGGAAGGAAGTAGTATGCACGGATTATGAGAATCCTCAGACGAAAGGAAAGGTCGCCCTTGAGAGATCTCATAAAACACATGGCAAAACCCTAGTAGTGCTCCTTAATGATTGACAATGAGTCTAATATTCCCTTT